GAAATTATAGACGCAGGAAATTTAGAGAAATGTTTCACATTCTCAAAGTTCAAAAATCTGTAAATAAGCAAACTGACATAAACAATTTGAATCAAGTTTATCATTCGTTAATTCTAAACACTAATTAAAATTTTTCAAATTAATCAAATTGTCTTTTTTCTTTAATTAATTAAATTTTCTTTATTTTCTTTATTTTCTTTTTTGAAATTATCGATTAAGCAGTTTTCTTTATTATCATACTCCAAATCTGCTTTATCTTCTTATGGTTTTTTTAAAAAACTTTTTTATACGTTAAAGAGCAAGTATGCTCACACGTTTTTCAAATTATTTAACACTTTTTTATTTTCTAATCAAGAACATAATGTTCTTGGTTAGTTCGTTATTTTTTACAAAAAATATTTATTAAAAATGGAGTTTTTTCACATAAAGTTTTTTGTTTTCATTTTTTGAAGAGACCTCTTGGTAAGTTTTTGGTTATGTTATTTACAAAGTTTTGTGTTTTTTAAAAAAGCTTTTCAGAGATGTAAAAGAAAAAGTTTTTAATTAGAAATTACATGTATTTCAGTTTTGAATATCTGAGGATGCCTGTCGTCGACGGGCGAAAGCTCATAAATAAAATATTTTAAATAATTAAGATTACGGATTTTCATCAAACAATATCATATCGCACTAAATAAATAATTAATTGCAATAAATGACCAAAGGAATAAATGAAAGTAATAAAAAACAACCTTCTAATATAAAATATCAGTTTTTGTCACAACTAAAAAAAATTAATTAATTCATCAAAATTAATAAATGTCGGGAGCAGGTATCGAAAAACCATGTAAATAGACAAATATATAGCTAAATTTTTTTTTTTAAGAAATAGTCAATTTTTAAAACCTTTTCTTTATTTCTTATACTATAAATAACAAATGTAATTAAGTTTTTTTATTTATTAATTGTATTAACTATTTTTCAAATCTGATAGAGTACAAAAATTATTTATAATTTTTTTATGAAATATACAATTTATGTATTTGATACATAAACTTTTGTTTACATCAAAATTGAGATCATATTGAATGTTCTCTACGATATTCAAAGATTCTAAAGTTTTACATTTTGATTCATTTTTTCTTAAAGTAAAGCACCAGAAAAAGAACATTAAGCTTTTAGGTTAACTGTCAATCCCTATACGTCTGGATCACTCGCGCTTTAAATTCTCTGCCGGTAATGCAGAACAGCTAACAGCTTTTGCTCCCGCTGTATCAGAGGGCGAGCTTGTGCATCGACAAATGCACAAATCTTCGACTTTCTGCTGCGAAATCGAAGCAGAAAATTCGTACTTTCAACCGAGGTATGAAGAAAAATTATTTTGTACAGCTAAGAGTCTATATTTTTATATAGTAATTGTGCTAGCAGAATAATTATGATCCAGTGCTAGAAAAAAAATTAAAATCGCCTATCCGTAAGTTTCATATTTTTAAGTAATTATCGCAAATTTTGAATATCATGCCTGATATTTAAATAACCTAGTGCAGATAATATGCCTATAATATGCCAGATAATATAATGCCTTATTAAGCGTTAATAGTATTGGTGATATGTATAACTTCTTAAAGGAAAAACATTACAACATTCTATCACATCTATAACTTGTACGGTTGGTGGCAGAAAGCAAGTATCACTTTGTCGAGCACACCATGTCAGTGGTGTCCCCATCGAAAACTTGTTCATAATATTAATATTTTTTAAATATTATTGTATCTAGTTTTCAGGTATTACACGTAGTTTAAAAATCGCAACGACTTTAACTTGAAAATAAAATCTTTCTATTGTAATTTATAAGCTGATTTTATTCTCACTATTCAAAAAAAATTATCAGTGAAATCTTCCACAAATGTCAGTGGTGTCCCTCAATGTTCATATGTCTTTTTGGTCTTCAAAAGTATATTAATTTATGGCAGAACTCATTACAAATATTTTTTAAGTCATGTTGAAACATTCATTATTATAATTTGAAATATTTAAACTTTTTAAAGTTGTGAGAATTTATTTGAGAAAAGAATAAACGAAAACAGAAAATTTCTTATCATTTCTGCCTATCATTTTTCACCTGGTGAAAATTAAAATTTGCTCCCACCTGGTCGACCACTATTATTTTTGTCCATTATATATTCTAGTCAACCAAAATAAAGTATCGTTAAGTTCAAAATCCAACATCGAAAAATCAAAGTTAGTAGGATCAAAAATGACATTTTAAATTTAATCATCCTTATATGAAGAAATATATAATAGTTTACTTAATTGTTATTTATTTTCCTCTAATAAAGTTTGAATTTCCTCATTTAATATTTTCTAGTATACATATTATTGGTTAATTTATGATTTATTATATTGTTACGTAAAAAGTAACTCACCTCTTAAAATTTGTAATCCTCGTTTTAAATAAGAAATTTCGAAGAAATCTTATTTGGGAATGAGGAAAAAGAATCAATGAAAAAGTCTAAGAGTTAGTTAAATGAAATTTATTATAAAAATTCATATGATTTCTTGAAGTTCGTTATTTGTATCTTGCCGAGAGAAGACCAGTTCCTTTTCCAATAAACACCTTTAACAAATAGGCGTTTATTAGATATAGAAATTGTATTGAAAAGATATGATGAAAAGATTTAGTTAATTACCTTTATTGCTCCTATTCGAACCTGGAAACCCGTTCTCCGCTCGTGGGTCCACAGCCAGCTCAGATGCACCGCCTTTCCAATTTTACTGCTTTGGAGATTGACAAGAGGTTGCTCACTCACGAGAAGGTATTACTTGAATTGGGATTTTCGTAGGTTACGAGTATAGATTTGAACGGACTACTGGTACAGAGATGATGTCGATCGCTTTGATTTAAATTAGATACTGATTTTTGGATCCAAATTTAGGGCCTTATATACCCAGATCACATCCGTGTATTGACGTAATAGGGTTGTAAAAAGATTGCTCATCGATGGGTGTTTGTCAAGTTTGCTTGGTAATAGGTCTGGTCTAAGGTTACTTTGAGGTCACACATGTGGCATGTGACACCTCCCCTCCTTATTCAATCGCACAATTGAAAATTTGCGATTGAAGCTTCGGCAGAAGATTTGTCTAAAATTCTCGATATCGTAGTACATAAGGTTAACTTTCTTTTAAACCGTAGAATCGTAGAAGAAGAATTACAAGAAATCATTATTCTAGTGTTCATTGTGTAGAACAAAATATTGTAGTAAATCGTAGTACAATATGTTTGTTTAAATGTTATTTGTTCTAATCTAATCTAACAACCGAGATCGAGCTGGATTTTCCTCAAGAGGGGAAAGTAAGCACCTAGGTTATAAAACCCATTGTACCAGACTCCAGCTCGCTCGTTTATAGCAACCCATTAGAGTCCTGTTCTTCTCCAGAAGTCCAGTATCTCTTCTATCGATAGGTTGCTCACCTGTTTAGGGTCCATAATTGCTTGACCCCAACTAGATAGCCTGATCCCAGCTAGCGCTGGGCATTCAGATAATATGTGAGTCGAAGTTTCGTTACTCTCCCCACACAGTCTGCACATAGGTGAAACTTGTCTGCCTATTTTATGCTGATGGTAATTCAATAGTCCATGCCCGTAAGTAGACGAACTACGGTTCTACCTCTGATCTTATCGAGTTTTAGGAGATCGCTCGCTCGCCTCTTGTTGAGTGCTAGCCCCAACAGTTTTCGCTTGCCTTTCCACCCTAACGTTCGCCCAATACTTCTCATGTTCCCTTTGACCCCTTCTATGGCTCCCTTAACCAAGAACGGCATTATTGCCACTGCTGGTTCAGGACCTATAAATTCCGTCTCGGAACCGATTTTCGCCAAGGCGTCTACTCTTTCATTACCCTTGATTCCCGAGTGACCCGGTACCTAAATCAATGAAAGTTTATTTGCTAAACTAAGTTTATTTATTATTTATTTATAAGTTTATTTTTTTAACTAAGTTTATTTTGCTATTATCTAGTACGCTGCAGCATTCCCAGACGAGTTTTGATTCTATTGTGGGATTTTTCAGAGCCCCCAAGACCGCCTGACTATCCACACAAATACTAATCCTCTTGCCCTTTGTTCCATTTCGAATGGATATTTGGGCGCAAGTTAAAATCGCACAGATCTCTGTCTGCCAGACCGTGGCATAATGTCCTAGTGACTCAGCCACTTTAATGCAGCCAGTTTTTCGATAGATTCCGAAGCCTACACCGCAGTCCATCTTGGAGCCGTCTGTATACCAGACTTCGTCCCCAAGTGGAAAACCTTTCTTCCAGTCCAATCTGGAAGGTGTAATGATCTTAAAGCTGGGTTTAAATTTCACCCTCTTGATCATTCTATCTTGCACCATACTTAATTGTGGCATTGATAAAATTGAGCGTGGAAGCTTGGTGTGTATACCACCAACTTCGGCTAGCATGAATCCCAACGCAGCTGTTGGTGTGGTTCTCATAGCTCCCGTAATACCCCTGAAAATCATTGCCTGCAGTTGGTCCAGTTTCTCTTTAATCGTTATCAGTTGAGTCCTAGACCACCGCGTGAAGAAACCTGGGTTTTAAGATCATCTGATAGAGCCAGTTGACCATATTAGGCCTTAGTCCCCACGATGACCCTATCGCCCTTCTACACGCCCAAAAAGCAGTACAGAACCCTCTATACTGATATTCAAAAGGTTCCCTCCAAATCAACTTTTTATCCAGGATTACTCCCAAATACTTAGCCGATTCAGAAAAAGAAATTTCTTTTCCATAAAATATCGGTTTCTTCAAACTCGGTACCTTATATTTTCTTGTGAAAACTACTACACTCGACTCTCGGATCTTTTGCACTTATGGGACTAAATCCTCTCATATTTTTTACCAAAACAAATGCCATGGTAATGCAAAACAATACAATATGTATAACTCCAAACGGGGGGTCCACCACTTACTACCCCCATTAAAGCCCATTTTCTTAACTACACAGTTCCTTTCAAAGGATCAGATAATAGAATCTCGCAGGTATTCCGCTGCAAGCTCCAACTCCTCCCGCGTTCCATACGAAGTGGAAAAGCATGCCATGGAGGTCTTAAGGTCTTCAATATATGAAGCCCAGTCAGTACTCCTGGGATTACGTCCCCACTCCTGTTCCCGATCCTTCGATTCCAATCTAAACGTTATAAGCCTGTGGTCCGAGAGGGAATCTTCATCAGACACCCTCCAGTCCCTCACGCCACCACACAAAGACTTGAAACAGATCGTAATATCCAACACCTCTTTTCTGTTAACAGTAACGAAAGTCGGCTCATTACCCTGATTTAAAATATCTAAATCTGTATCTATCAGAAAATCTAAAAGTCTTCTGCCTCTGTCGTTAATGTCAGTGCTGCCCCATACGACATGGTGCGCATTGGCATCACAACCTATTATCAAAGGGAGACCTTGCCGTTGACAGTAATCTACCAACTTCTCCACCTCTGTAGGTGGTGCGGGGTCATCCCCCGATCCCGGAAAATATGCGGAAGCTACTACAACCTCCCTTTTATTTCCGTTCTTTTCTAGGTACTTAGCCTTAACAACAACTAAGTCCCTGGTAGTTAATTCCAATAGACGGAAAGCATCTAGACCTTTATAGATCAGGCAAACCCTTGAAACTGGTTCCTGTGGTGAACTAACTAGCACCCCACAGCCACTTAGACCTCTAATCTTACCCTTGTAAACCCAAGGTTCTTGAACAAAGGCTATAGCTGCCTGCATCCTTGCAAAGTTCCTGGCTAGAATCGCCGAAGCGCCTTTACAATGATGCAAGTTAATCTGCATACAGTGGATCCCGGAAGCAGCCATATTTAAGACTGACTCACTGTCCCCTCTGTCGCGTCCACACCTTGATCGCCAGCATCGTGATCCCCCAAAAAGGGCTCTTCGACGCTCACGTGTGTGGTTTTATTTTTATTAATTTCTGTAGTATCAATTATGGTCCCACGAGAAAAGAGGAAAGAAAGGTCAATCTTTAAAGAGCCTCTATTTAAGGAAAAGGCTAAATTACATCTGAAAGTTCGCCTGGTATCTCAGAGTCTCGTTCAAGATACCTCCATTCGAGCCCCACCCCGGGGACGGGTCGTCCAGAAGACTGTAACACAACCGTTCCCGAGCTTTACGGTTTACGGTTAATTGTGCCCAGCAAAGGTCGTCCCCCGTCCAACCCCCTCCCCACGGAAGAACCCGGCGGATTTGATAACCCTAGTATCATTCATCCATGGACACGAGTTCATCACGGATTGGGCGGCAGAGACTCGCGCCTCAATCGCCATGGCACAGCCAACGTAACCATGGAAGGGTTTCTTCTTGGTCAGACTTCCACCAGTAGGAAGTCTTCGGAATGGACCCGCGGTTAAGCCTCTGTCCATTCCGTCTCTCTCGATATCCCTCTAAATCCCCGTGCCCTGGAACACTGCCCAGCGAAACACAGAAGATTCGGTTTCTGTAGCGGCCGACCCATTTTGAAGGGTTCGCCCCTCAGTCCCCACGAGAGATATCGAGAAGTAGCCTCCCACTAACGGCAAGGTCTTGAAACCCCTAGGGAGGGCAAAAAATTTGTTAATTGAAAAAGTTTTGAGTAAATCATAGAAAAATTTTGTATAAATCGTAGAACAATGTAATTGTTTAATATTTGTTAACATGAATTGAAAAAGTAATTGTTTAATAATATATGTAAAATTGATTGAAGAGTAGAAAAATTTTGAAAAACTGTAAATCGAAGAACAAAAAAAAACAATATATGTAAATAGTAGAACAATTTTTTGAAAAAAAAAATTTTGCGTAAATCGTAAAACAAAATTTTTTTTCTTTTTTTTTTAAAGAAAAACAAATTTTTTGTGTAAATCGTAGAACATTTTTGTTGTATATTATTTGTTATAAAAAAAATTAAATTATTCGTAGTACATGATTATTTGTTAATATTCTGCAAAAAGTTTTAAAATTATTCGTGGTCTATTATTTGTCATTGAGTCGTTCAATAATATAATTGTTTCATGTACATAGTTTACATTAAATGATTGAACATAATTTTTTTTATATTTTATACATTATTTTTATTATTAGTCGTAGGGAACTAAGTATTGAAATCAAATCGTTAAATATTAACTGTTAATAACTCGTAGAGCATAATTGCTTCACAGTGATTGAGTAAGATTCATTTAATATTAATTGTTCATATTACTTGTTAAAATACTTATCAAATTCTAGAAAAGTTTTTAAAAAAATAGAAGGTTTATATATAATTTTTCCTTCTTTTTTTTATTTCATAAAGTCACTATTATAAGATTATTTGTAAAGAATAGTGAGTTTATGACTTTAATTATTTATCCTTTATGTATATATATTTTTTGTTTTGTTATTTATTTAATATGTACTTATTATTATTTTTGTTTTCTAATGTTAAATTAAGAATAAATAGTTTTCTTCCCAAACTATATCTTGTAGTATTGCCCTTAATTCGATGTAACATTGTCTACAAAATAATGATCTTCTTACTACTTTGTATAATACTTCTTTGCATCTAAAGCAATCTAGGCTTATATTTGCGCATGCTATTAAATGATCGTCTTGTCTCATTTCTTATTCATTGTCGAATAGCGGATAACAATCTTCGCAATATATTAACCCTTGTTGTTTGATAAATGTGTTTTTGGTTGTGATTTTTCTACAACATATATGTCGTATTAGTTCGTTATATAGTCTGTCTTGAAAAGCTGATCTAATAGAAGCTAATGTTTCGCTTTCATCAAAAGTTTGGTTTTCTGGAATTTTTTTTTGTTATAATCAATGCTTTTCGAAGAATAGTTTAAAAGAAAAAAAATTTATATATAAGCAAAAGAAATTTATTTATTTATTTTTTTAAATAGTTTTTATGATTTTATAACTTTCTTTAAAATATATAAACATATATTATTGATATTTTTATTAAATTCTAAATAGCGCTATAATTATTACTGTTAAAAATGTTATTAAGGTTATATATGTTATTTCTTTTTTTTATATTATAGAACTGAAATTTTTTTTATATTGTTTAAATATTGTATTTGAAATTTTTGGAAATTCTGGTATATAATTAATTATTAAAGATTTTGTTAGGTCATTTGGAAAGTTAAAAGAATTTAATAAAAGTAGCTTTTCTTCTAATTTATTACTTTGAATATTTAATTTTTTTTATAAGTTATTTTATATAAGGGATTTATTTTTAAGAATCTTCTTTTTGTAAGATAAAAAGAATAATTTGACATAATAAATGGATTTGTTTTTACTAAAGAAATTTACTAAATCCATGTATTATGTTTTTCTTTATAAAATCGTTTTATCAACTTCAAAATTTATTTAATAATTGCATCTCTTGCTACTTGTAGATAAGTACATCAACAAATTAAAAACATTTATTCTTGTTATTAAATTTTAGTTTTGCAGCATTATTTTTTTTTAAATTTGTAATTATTTTTATTTATTTATATATTTTTTTTACTTTGTTTTACTATAGAAATTGTAAATTTAAAAAAAGTTAGTTTGATAAGAATTTTAATTATTTATTTATAAAATATCCGTGGAAATCTGGAGGAAGGTATTTTTAATACAGAAAATGACTTTGTAAATAATTTTTAAAAAATATTGAATCCCATAATCATTTGGAAATATGAATTAGTTTTAAATATGAGTTTGTATTTCATGCACGGAGAGAAATCTGTTGCTATTATTGCTTGCAGAATCTTTACAAATTTTATTAGTCACTGCTGAATAGAATTTTAGCTTGAGGTTATAATAATTTATATACGAAATCATCTATTTAATGTAATGGAGAGTTCGATGCAATAAACACAAAAAGCAGCTGCTAATTTTGCACGAAATCTTTATTATAAATATAAAGAGAACGTGCTATAAAAGTATTAGATTCTTCTTATAAGAATCGCTCGAACTCCGACTGATTTTCAGGCGGACTTTATACAACACAATCTTACCTGCGTATACGCACATATAACTCACACACACATATATTTCTCTGGATGGTTTCGAGGAACGGAACGCGTACAAAGCGGTGACGTTTGCAATAACATAACCTAACAATTTTCACATGTTGCTTATATATTCAAACACGAATAAAAATGCAATAATTTTTAAATAATATACTTACTATTAAATAAATATTATCTTTTTATAACAGCAACAAGTATTAAATACTACATATAATATATAATGTTTTACCAGACGACAAAACTTTTCAGAGAAATATATATGTGTGTGAGTTATATGTGCGTATACACAGGTAAGATTGTGTTGTATAAAGTCCGCCTGAAAATCAGTCGGAGTTCGAGCGATTCTTATAAGAAGAATCTAATACTTTTATAGCACGTTCTCTTTGTATTTATAATAAAGATTTCGTGCAAAATTAGCTACTGTCTCTTATGCTTATTGCATTGAAAGTATTTTTACAATAAGTATATGAATCCATGCTAAAAATATAAGAGAAACGTTAAGCAATTTAAGTAATGTGCTCTTTCGAGTAATATTAGCAGCAGATTTCTCTCCGTGTGTGTATCTCAGAAAAGATAAATTTATCGGTAATTATCATTTTCAAAATACATTCTTCTCAAGTGAGGAAAAAGAGTGTTGCTAAATAAGGATTGGGAAAAAATAGAAAAAATATATGATTAGTACTCCTGTTGAAAATATATGTTCTGCTTCTCAGATCTGAAACGTGAAAAAATTATATTAGATTATTTTTTTATGTTTGTTAGATTAAGGATTAATTTTTGATTTCTTTAATCTAATAATATGGACTGTTAATGGTTTTCCCTTAAAGTTAATTTTTACATTACCTTTTTCTAATAATTCTAAAATTTCATAAGGACCTGAGTATTGGTTTCTTAGTTTTTTAATTTTTCCCCCGTTTAATAAAAATACAAAGTCGCCATTTTTTATTTCTAGGGGATTAATTTTTCTATCATGATAAAATTTCGATTTTTCCTTTGCTGAAATTAAATTTTCTCTTGCTTGGGCTTTCATTTCGTGTAATTGTGTAACAAAGGTAGTTAAATATTCATCGTATGTTTGTAATTTTTCATTTTGAGAAGGAGGTTCGCTAGAGGGTTCACGAGCTAATTTTCCAAACACAAGTTCGTATGGTGTGCATTTTGTTCCTTCGTGTATGCTAGTATTGTAAGAAAACATTGCTAATTGTAACCAATCGTCCCATTCAGAATTTTTCTCAATAAATTGTTTTAAATATTCTGCTTAAACATGATGCGAACGTTCGAGTAATCCGTTAGATTGGGGGTGAAAAGCTGTTGTACGAAATTGTTTAATTCTAAAACGTTTTGCTAATCTTTTTAATAAATTGCTCAAAAAATCTCTTCCCTGGTCTGTTAGTACGCCTTTAGGTGAACCGAATATGCAAATGAATTTTTTCACGAATGCGTCTGCTATTGTAGCAGCTTGATGATTAGGTAAAGGGATTGCTATAGAGTATTTTGTGAAGTTATCTTGAATTGTTAAAATGTATATGTTGCCAGATTTAGTTGGAGGGGTTAAAAGGTCATACAATATCCATAGAAATTTTTTCAAAAGCAGTTGTAGGTGTGTCTGTGATAATCATTGGATTTTTAGTTTTTACGCGAACTAATTTCTTTAATTGACATTGTAAACATCCGTTTATGTATTTTTGAATATCTAATTTTAAATTTTCCCAATAGTATTTCTGACGAATTCTAGCTAAAGTTTTTGTTACTCCCTTATGGCCTCCGATTGCCGATGAATGATTTTCTTCTAATATCTGTTGTCTAATTTCTTTATTAGGGTAT